TTCGTTCAATAAAAGAACAAAACTGTTCAACGGTGCTAGAAAAAGTAAAGAAAGGGAAACTGTTATTTTGTGAACCTTTCGGTATTGTCTTAGAATCCTTAGTGTCTCTTGGTTGAAGACTTTACTTATTTTCTTTGAATATCTATTGTCTTTTTTGTTTTTCTTTTAATATCGATTGAAATCTTACTTACTTACTTACTTACTTACTTACTTACTTACTTACTTACTTACTTACTTACTTACTTACTTACTTACTTACTACTTACTTACTTACTTACTTACTTACTTACTTACTTACTTACTTACTTACTTACTTACTTACTTACGTACTTACTTACTTACTTACTTACTTACTTACTTACTTACTTACTTACTTACTTACTTACTTACTTCTTACTTACTTACTTACTTACTTACTTACTTTACTTACTTACTTACTTACTTACTTACTTACTTACTTACTTACTTACTTACTTACTTACTTACTTACTTACTTACTTACTTACTTACTTACTTACTTACTTACTTACTTACTTACTTACTTACTTACTTACTTACTTACTTACTTACTTACTTACTTACTTACTTACTTACTTACTTACTTACTTACTTACTTACTTACTTACTTACTTACTTACTTACTTACTTACTTACTACTTACTTACTTACTTACTTACTTACTTACTTACTTACTTACTTACTTACTTATTACTTACTTACTTACTTACTTACTTACTTACTTACTTACTTACTTACTTACTTACTTACTTACTACTTACTTACTTACTTACTTACTTACTTACTTACTTACTTACTTACTTACTTACTTACTTACTATTACTTACTTACTTACTTACTTACTACTTACTTACTTACTTACTTACTTACTTACTTACTTACTTACTTACTTACTTACTTACTTACTTACTTACTTACTTACTTACTTACTTACTTACTTACTTACTTACTTACTTACTTACTTACTTACTTACTTACTTACTTACTTACTTACTTACTTACTTACTTACTTACTTACTTACTTACTTACTTACTTACTTACTTACTTACTTACTTACTTACTTACTTACGTACTTACTTACTTACTTACTTACTTACTTACTTACTTACTTACTTACTTACTTACTTACTTACTTACTTACTTACTTACTTACTTACGTACTTACTTACTTACTTACTTACTTACTTACTTACTTACTTACTTACTTACTTACTTACTTACTTACTTACTTACTTACTTACTTACTTACTACTTACTTACTTACTTACTTACTTACTTACTTACTTACTTTACTTACTTACTTACTTACTTACTTACTTACTTACTTACTACTACTTACTTACTTACTTACTTACTTACTTACTTACTTACTTACTTACTTACTTACTTACTTACTTACTTACTTATTACTTACTTACTTACTTACTTACTTACTTACTTACTTACTTACTTACTTACTTACTTACTTACTTACTTACTACTTACTTACTTACTACTTACTTACTTACTTACTTACTTACTTACTTACTTACTTACTTACTTACTTACTACTTACTTTACTTACTACTACTTACTTACTTACTTACTTACTTACTTACTTACTTACTTACTTACTTACTTACTTACTTACTTACTTACTTACTTACTTACTTACTTACTTACTTACTTACGTACTTACTTACTTACTTACTTACTTACTTACTTACTTACTTACTTACTTACTTACTACTTACTTACTTACTTACTTACTTACTTACTTACTTACTTACTTACTTACTTACTTACTTACTTACTTACTTACTTACTTACTGTACTTACTTACTTACGTACTTACTTACTTACTTACTTACTTACTTACTACTTACTTACTTACGTACTTACTTACTTACTTACTTACTTACTTACTTACTTACTTACTTACTTACTTACTTACTTACTTCTTACTTACTTACTTACTTACTTACCTTACTTACTACTTACTACTACTTACTTACTTACTTACTTACTACTTACTACTTGCTTACTTACTTACTTACTTACTTACTAAATTTTATGTTTTTTAACTTAATTTTAAATTTAATTTTAAAAACTTTTTTGAACATTCGTTCAAAAACAGTAACTGTAAAAGTTTCCCTAAAAATGTTAAAATTTAAATTGGTACTTGCACATTGTTTCAAAAATAAGATTTTATAAAATGATGAAAAAAAATTACTCACTTTGTACTGCCAGCTGTTGTTGATGCGCCGCTGCACGCTGTAAATAAAAATATTTAAAATTTTATATTTAATTAAGGGAAAAACACATTTAAAAAATAATTTATAAAACATTTATTACACTTTGCATTATGCTGCGTATGCCGCTGCGTTCCAAAGCCTGAACATCTAAGGATTGACTGCGGCCACGCTGGGTTTTCGAAGAGGACGACGACGAGGAAGAGGAAGAGTGAGCATGGCGATAAATCCAACGTTTAACAGCAGACATTTTGTTTTATATGTTGTTCTTTATATTTTAAATATTTTTTTTTTTATTTTTTACAATAAATTTTTGAAAATAATTTGTATTTTCTAAACACAGCCCTACAGTGATGTATGGTATTTTAATTGTTATCTGTTTCTTAAGTGTTTCATTACATTTTGCTGGCACTGTAAAAAGAGTATTGAATTTTATATAAAAGAATAGTGAAAAAAAGCTTTTTGAATAAGATATTAAAAGCTTTTATTTCGAACACTTTAATTTCACATTAGAGGGCGTTGTTGGCTGAGGCAATTAATACATTTTGTCAGTTATAAAAATAAATAAATTTTAAATGAAATGTATTTTGCTAAAGCTTAAACACTTGTATTGATATTGATTAATAAAAGCAAATATTATTTAATAACAAATCTATTTGTTGTTATTTTTTACGTTTTTAAAAACATTTCCCTTAAATAATTCTGTGTGTTGTTATTTCAAATATTTATATTCTTAATTGAAAATTATGCAAATTTTTATTTAGCTGCAATTAAAAACCTCTTGTCGTCAATTTACTTTACAAAAGATTTTCATTATGTTTATTTCAAGGTAAATTATTTTAAAAGGGAGAAAATTTTTGAGTGGTTTTTCTTCATTTTAAAAAGTTTGGTTTTTCTTTAGAATATTATTATTTATATGGAAATCTATAGTCTTTGTTTATTTATTTAAATATATATTTCTTTTAAGTTTTGTTTTAATTAAACGCTAACAAACTGTACATTTAATAATTGTATACAAATTAAGTGGAAAATTCTGTTGGTCAATTTATATAGAAAATATTAATTGAAATTTTTTTTTTAAATGACAAATAATCAACCGAAATAGTAAAAATGTCTTTGTCACAATTAGTGAATTCAAATATATTCAAAATATTTCATATTTCCCACCCTGAGTTAAAATTAAGCATATGGCAACAACTGTTTAAGACCTGCTTTGTTTTACCTCACATGTGGCAACACTTCTCCTTTAAAGGGAAGTTGCCTCTATCCTAAGTTTTTCTTATTTATCATGATCTTTTTTACGCAAATTTATTTAGGTTTTTTATCTAATAATTTATTTTATAACACTTCCTTATAATAAATTTACTTTTTTGGAAACTTTTTCTAGTTTTTCTGTAAGTTTTATTACTACAAAGTAGTGTTTTTTTCTAATGTAGGAGGAGTATTTATTCAGCACTTAAAGAGTTTAAGTGTTTGGTTTTTGTTTCAATTGTTGATTTTATTTAATAATTTATTTTGTTATCTAATAAAAATTTTGTTAAAAACAAAATAGTATTATCAATTATATTTGTGTGCGTTTATAAGTTTGAGTCTTTTTTTTAATACTTGAAGTATTAGAAAAAAATAAACAAATAATATATTTTCTTGAGTTTCAGTTCCTTTATTTGTTTTATTTTAAACAACAGTATTTTTTTATAAAAAAACTTAAGGTGTTTTAAAGTTGTCACCTGTTTAAATGTTATGACGTAAGAAACCACAAGATACTTATGTATGTATGTATGTATCTATGTATGTATGTATGTATCTATGTATCTATCTATCTATCTATCTATCTATCTATCTATCTATCTATCTATCTATCTATCTATCTATCTATCTATCTATCTATCTATCTATCTATCTATCTATCTATTTATCTATTTATCTATTTATCTATTTATCTATCTATCTATCTATCTATCTATCTATCTATCTATCTATCTATCTATCTATCTATCTATCTATCTATCTATCTATCTATCTATCTATCTATCTATCTATCTATCTATCTATCTATCTATCTATCTATCTATCTATCTATCTATCTATCTATCTATCTATCTATCTATCTATGTATCTAATCTATCTATCTATCTATCTATCTATCTATCTATCTATCTATCTATCTATCTATCTATCTATCTATCTATCTATCTATCTATCTATCTATCTACCTATCTATCTATCTATCTATCAATCTATCTATCTATCTATCTATCTATCTATCTATCTACTATCTCTATCTATCTATCTATCTATCTATCTATCTATCTATCTATCTATCTATCTATCTATCTATCTATCTATCTATCTATCTCTATCTATCTATCATATCTATCTTCTATCTATCTATCTATCTATCTTCTATCTATCTACTATCTATCTATCTATCTATTATCTATCTATCCGATCTAGCTATCTATCTATCCATCTATCCATCTATCTATCTTCTATCTATCTATATCTAGCTATCTATCTATCTATCTATCTATCTATCTATCTATCTATCTATCTATATTCGATCGATCTATCTATCTATCTATCTAGCTATCTATCTATCTATCTATCTATCTGCTATCTATCTATCATCTAGCTAATCTATCTATCTATCTATCTATCTATCTATCTATCTATCTATCTATCTATCTATCTATCTATCTATCTATCTACTATCTATCTACTATCTAACTATCTATCTATCTATCTATCTATCTATCTATCTATCTATCTATCTATCTATCTATCTATCTATCTATCTATCTATCTATCTATCTATCTATCTATCTATCTATCTATCTATCTATCTACCTATCTATCTATCTATCTATCTATCTATCTATCTATCTATCTATCTATCAATCTATCTATCTATCTACTATCTATCTATCTATCTATCTATCTATCTATCTATCTATCTACTATCTATCTATCTATCTATCTATCTATCTATCTATCTATCTATCTATCTATCTATCTATCTATCTATCTATCTATCTATCTATCTATCTATCTATCTATCTATCTATCTATCTATATATCTATCTATCTATCTATCTATCTATCTATCTATCTATCTATCTATCTATCTATCTATCTATCTATCTATCTATCTATCTTATCTATCTATCTATCTATCTATCTATCTATCTATCTATCGATCTATCTATCTATCTATCTATCTATCTATCTATCTATCTATCTATCTATCTATCTATCTTCTATCTATCTATCTACTATCTATCTTATCTATCTATCTATCTAATCTATCTATATAAATGCTTCTTTGACGAATAAAGTGCTGTCAAGTATTTAAACCAGTTTAGGAAAAATTCACTTGGATCTCCATAAATTCTAGAAATATTTTCTATTAATATTCCAAAATTATTGACAAATTTTTTCGTTTCCTTTTAAGGATTTTTTCTATAATAATTTTAGTTTTATATAATATTATTTTTGAGACTAACGCTTTTAATTAGTTTGTTTGTTTTAATTTTTAGACATATTTTATAATACTTTGAACGACCGGAAAATAAATGTTTAGGCTGTTTGTTTATTTAAAATAAGTATTATTTTAATAAATATTTTTTTCGTTGTTAAATAAAAGTAGCGACAAAAAATATATATATGTATAATAAACAATTGTCAGGTTTATGCACTTTCAGCACGTCAAATTTACACAGTGTATTAGACAGAGTGTGCTGCACCTAAAGAAAAGAGATATGATTTGAACAGAAACGGGGGAAGTAAAGCTAAGAGGAATGAGTGGAAAAATCAAGCAAAAATTTACCAAATACATATAAGAATTTTAATTTTTTTTATAACGCAAATCTGCTATTTTTACTAGTTTTCCTAAAATACTACCTGTAGATAGCCAAGTTGGCATCACTTTATTATATTTGACAGTTTAATTCCATTGTTAATTGCTTGATGTAAAGAAAAGGTAAACAATTGCTAATAAGATTAAGGGCTGCCAGATGGTATTAGAAGTTCATTACATCACTACAACAATAAAAAAGGAAATTCTAGGTAAAAATAAGCAAAGTTTCATAATTTCATATAAAAATTATGTTTAATTTCATATTACAAGCTATCAATCATTGCTGTTAAGAAACCAACTATCCCACCAACAGTTAGTAGTAAATTGGTTGGCTGGCTGACCTTAAGAAATCTACACAGAAATGAATTGAACATTTACAATTGTAGAAAACAAATAAAATAATTTCTAAATAGAAAATAAACATACATAATAACAACAAACAGTACTAGCATTTACGGCAACTATTTTGTAGATTTTGTTTTAAACTATTTTGATGTCTGTGAATGAATTGTAATAAAACATAGAAAAAAAAAAACTTTAACAGGGTATAACAGTAGAGAGAAAATGTTTTTGATTGATATAACAATATTTAAAAGAGATTTGAAAAAAGTATACATTTTTACTAATTACAACACTTAATATTTTTCTTAATTATTTAATTAAAAAATTTTCAAAATTTATCTAATTTTCAAACACCCTTTTAAATACAGAAATCAAAACTAATTTAAAATGATAAATTATAGAATTTATAAAAAAAATCAGACAAAAGAATTCGAACGAAAAAATATATAATAAAATAACATTTTTAGAAAGTAATTAAAATAATAAAACTATATTTAACAAATCAAATGAAATATTAATGGAAATTATTTAGAAAACAAGAAAACGGAAGTTGTTTTAAGAAAAAAATAGTCAAGTTTCAAACTATTTTAATATCAGTAACAAATAGATATGGACATATTCACATTTCAAATATGATTAATGTTTTAAAATAAACAAATTAATCAAATTTTAACATTAAATCGCAACAATACCGCATATTTATTAAAAATTTTAAATTCTTTTTAAAATCTATTAAATTTTACTAAAAACGTATACATATTTTTTCCTTTTGAATACATCATCCCTGCTATAACATCTGGCAGCCCTTAACCTTATTAACAATT